CGACTGCCAGAGTTCGTAGCGCAGCGTAGCGCTAACCGCTGCACCACCGCTCCCATCACACACGAAGACAAAGATCCCCATATAGCCGTGACAGACTGTTGGGCCAAGTGCCGTAAGCCAGGAGCACCCATGATGGGTAGCACATCTCCCATCTCCATGGAGACGACACATCTCCCATCCCCATGGAGACGACTCATCTCCCATCCCCATGGAGACGACACATCTCCCATCCCCATGGAGACGACTCATCTCCCATCTCCATGGAGACGACACATCTACCCATCCCCATGGAGACGACTCATCTCCCATCTCCATGGAGACGACTCATCTCCCATCTCCATGGAGACGACTCATCTCCCATCCCCATGGAGACGACACATCTCCCATCCCCATGGAGACGACTCATCTCCATGGAAGACGACTCATCTCCCATCTCCATGGAGACGACTCATCTCCCATCTCCATGGAGACGACTCATCTCCCATCTCCATGGAGACGACTCATCTCCCATCTCCATGGAGACGACTCATCTCCCATCCCCATGGAGACGACTCATCTCCCATCTCCATGGAGACGACTCATCTCACATCTCCATGGAGACGACTCATCTCCCATCCCCATGGAGACGACTCATCTCCCATCTCCATGGAGACGACTATCTCCCATATCCATGGAGACGACTCATCTCCAATCTCCATGGAGCCGACTCATCTCCCATCTCCATGGAGACGACTCATCTCCCATCTCCATGGACGACGACTCATCTCCCATCTCCATGGACGACGACTCATCTCCCATCTCCATGGACGACGACTCATCTCCCATCTCCATGGAGATGACTCATCTCCCATCTCCATGGAGACGACTCATCTCCATGGAGACGACTCATCTCCCATCTCCATGGAGACGACTCATCTCCCATCTCCATGAAGACGACTCATCTCCCATCTCCATGGAGACGACGCATCTCCCATCTCCATGGAGACGACTCATCTCCCATCTCCATGGAGCCGACTCATCTCCCATCTCCATGGAGACGACTCATCTCCCATCTCCATGGAGACGACTCATCTCCCATCTCCATGGAGACGACTCATCTCCCATCTCCATGAAGACGACTCATCTCCCATCTCCATGAAGACGACTCATCTCCTATCTCCATGGCGACGACTCATCTCTCATCTCCATGGAGACGACTCATCTCTCGTCTCCATGGAGACGACTCATCTCCCATCTCCATGGAGACGACGCATCTCCCATCTCCATGGAGACGACTCATCTCCCATCTCCATGGAGACGACTCATCTCCCATCTCCATGGAGACGACTCATCTACGCTCGTCCCTTGCCTTCCTCGTGCCGTGCACCTCACACAGCCCCGATCCATCCAGACACACAGAGCGTCTACCACCACCTCTGCCTGACACTGCAGAGACCACACGGACCGCTACCCACACACACGGACCACACAGCTTCCATACACACACAGCTCCCATACACACACAGCTCCCATACACACACACAGCTCCCATACACACACAGCTCCCATGCACACACACAGCTCCCATACACACACAGCTCCCATACACACACACACCGCTCCCATACAGTCAAGCACAGCTCCCACACACACACACACCGCTCCAACACACACACTCACCGCTCCCACACACACACACACCGCTCCCATAGACACACAACTCCCATACACACACACAGCTCCCATACACACACACAGCTCCCATACACACACACACACCGCTCCCACATACACACACACACCGCTCCCACGCACACACCGCTCCCATGCACACACACCGCTCCCACACACACACACCTAACACGACACGTACCACCTCTCCTACCTAACACGACACGTACCTCCTCTTCTACCTAACACGACACGTACCGCCTCTCCTACCTAACACGACACGTACCGCCTCTCCTACCTAACATGACACGTACCACCCCTCCTACATAACACGACACGTACCGTCCCTCCTACCTAACACGACACGTACCACCTCTCCTACCTAACACGACACGTACCACCCCTCCTACCTAACACGACACGTACCGCCCCTCCTACCTAACACGACACGTACCGCCCCTCCTACCAAACGCTACACGTACCGTCTCTCCTACCTGACACTGCAGAGACCACACATCCCCAGTCCTGTATACCACACAGCCCAGCCATACAGAACGTGCCCCGACACACACACAAAGAGACACACACACAGAGACACACACACAGAGACACACACACAGAGACACACACACAGAGACACACACACAGAGACACACACACAGAGACACACACACAGAGACACACACACACACACACAGAGACACACACACAGAGAGACACACACACAGAGAGACACACACAGAGAGACACACACACAGAGAGACACACACAGAGAGACACACACAGAGAGACAAGACAAAGACAAAGATCCCCTATATAGCCTTAACAGACTGTAGGGGCAAGTGCTGTTAGCGAGCACCTATGAAGGCCAGAACGGTACACGAGGGGGTGGGTGGCCAGCACCACGCCCGACCGCCTTTGTCTCCCAAGTGGCAATGTTTACACACCGCACCAGGTACTCATTTGAGGCTGAGTCGACCTAGGGGAGGCCCGGGACCGGTTCAGATAATCGTCACTGGTGTTGGCCGTGAGCGGGAATCGAACCCGGGTCGCCAGGTTCATAGCGCAGCGCGCTAACCGCTACACTATAGCTCCCCACACAGAGACACACACACAGACACACACACACAAAGACACACACACAGACACACACAAAGACATACACACACAGAGACACACAGAGACACACAGAGACACACACACAGAGACACACACACACAGAGACACACACAGAGAGACACACACAGAGAGACACACACAGAGACACACACACAGACACAGACAGAGACACACACAGAGAGACACACATACACAGAGAGACACACACACAGAGACACACACACAGAAACACACACACAGACACACAGAGAGACACACACACAGAGAGACACACACAGAGACACACAGAGACACACACACACACACAGAGAGACACACAGAGACACACACACAGAGAGACACACACATACAGAGACACACACAGAGAGATACACACACAGAGACACACACAGACACACACACAGAGACACACACACACAGCGACACACACAGTGACACACCCACAGCGACACACACACACTGACACACACAGAGACACACACAGAGACACACACAGATACACACACAGAGACACACACAGAGACACACACACAGAGACACACACAGCCTGTAGCACGGCACCTGCAGGGCCGATGATAGACAGGGCGAGGGTTGCCGCCTAAGCATACGCACGGCACACACGTGCACTGTGAAGCCTGTGTATGTCTGTGTGTTCTTCTCCATCATCGCACACACATGACACATGACGCGTACACGTGTGTCACACCAAGCACGCATACGTGTGCGCACGTCCTTCACACACAGACATGTACACCCGCCACAACGCCCAATACACACGTCTCGCACGATAGACACATGCTCACGTCCCACACCCAAATCACGGACACACACACTCACGTCTCACACCCAAATCACGGACACACACACACTCACGACACACACCCAAATCACGGACACACACTCACGTCTCACACCCAAATCACGGACACACTCACTCACGTCTCACACTCAAATCACGGACACACAGACACTCTCACGTCTTACACCCAAATCACGGACACACACACTCACGACACACACACACTCACGTCTCACACCCAAATCACGGACACACACACTCGCTCACGACACACACCCAAATCACGGACACACACACTCACTCACGACACACACCCAAATCACGGACACACACACTCACTCACGACACACACCCAAATCACGGACACACACACACGTCTCACACTCAAATCACGGACACACACACACTCCCGTCTCACACCCAAATCACGGACACACACTCACTCACGTCTCACACCCAAATCACGGACGCACACTCACGTCTCACACCCAAATCACGGACACACTCACGTCTCACACCCAAATCACGGACACACACACTCACGTCTTACACACAAATCACGGACACACACACACACGTCTCACACCCAAATCACGACACACACTCACGTCTCACACACAAATCACGGACACACACACTCACTCACGTCGCACACCGAAATCACGGACACACTCACTCACGTCTCACACCCAAATCACGGACACACTCACTCACGTCCCACACCCAAATCACGGACACACACACTGACTCACGTCTTACACCCAAATCACGGACACACACACGTCTCACACCCAAATCACGGACACACACACACTCACGTCTCACACCCAAATCACGGACACACACACTCACGCCACACACCCAAATCACGGACACACACACTCACTCACGTCTCACACCCAAATCACGGACACACACACTCACGTCTCACACCCAAATCACGGACACACACACTCACGCCACACACCCAAATCACGGACACACACACTCACTCACGTCTCACACCCAAATCACGGACACACACACGTCTCACACCCAAATCACGGACACACACACTCACGTCTCACAACCAAATCATGGACCCGCACACACACACGCGCGCGCATCGCCCACCCTGTAAGATAGACGAGACGCAGCACAAGCACACACAGCGTGCCCGCTTGTGGCGCCCATACGCCCACGTAAAATGCGAGCCCGGCCAGATGAACGAGGCGAGTCGTCCTCGCTCAACCGTCGGCTCCCCTGGCTCCCTCCACCTCCTCCCCGGCTCCCTTCTCGTGCGCACGACGAGGAGCCCCCCCCCCCCCTCGACCCACCCCGTCCGGACCCGGGCGCTCATTGCGAGCGAGCGAGAGAGATCCACGCGTTTAGGCGCCGATCACCGATCGCGCGGATGGAGGAGGATGATGGTGATGGTGGTGGTGATCCTTACGTTGACTTGTGAAGATCCCGCATCGCCATTGTTTTGCATTGGAGCGCAGAAAGCTTCCACCGATGTCTCGTGCCGAGTCGTTTTATTATTATTATTGTTGTTGTGATCCCTCTCTCTCTCGCTCCCTCGCTCCGCTAGCGGCGTTGCCACCAGAAGGAGGGAGGGAGGCGCGGTCTTCCGGAAGATGCGCGGTGGGGTTCCGATCTCTAGAGGCGGCTCTCTCACTCCCTCACTCTGCCCCTCCTCTCTCTCTCTCTCCACGATCCGGCAGCACGGGATGGACGCGAGGGATGGGAGGGAGGAATGGATGGTGGATGGGAGGGATGGATGGTGGATGGGAGGGATGGGAGGGATGGATGGTGGATGGGAGGGATGTATGGTGGATGGGAGGGAGGGAGGAAGGACACTAGGGATGGGAGGGAGGTATGGTGGATAGATGGTGGATGGGAGGGATGTATGGTGGATGGGAAGGATGGATGGTGGATGGGAGGGATGGATGGTGGATGGGAGGGATGGATGGTGGATGGGAGGGAGGGAGGAAGGACACTAGGGATGAGAGGAATGGAGGATGGGAGAGAGGGAGGGAGGTGAAATATGGGAGGCAGGACACGAGGGATGGAGGATGGGATGGAGGAGGGGGATTGAATGGAAGTGATGGGACGATGGGAGGGACGTTGGAGGGCGATTGTAGAGAGGGGAGGGGCGTGAATGGGAGGGCTCCGGTTGCAGGAGGTGGAGTCGGGATGGGCTCTGCAGGTGGCCGGATGGATTACAGGTCACAGCGCTGGGCCCGCACCGCTCAGATACTGGGCTCGAATCCAAGCAGCCGCCTGCGATTAAACCAGGATCTCAAGTGTTCGTGAGTTCATGATCTCAGTCCGGTCCCCGATGACTGGATTATTAAAAAAAAACATTCAATTTAGTTATGAACTCCATCTGGTTAAATTCCAGCTCTGAGAATTAAAATATCGGTTTCACTCTCCTGCGACGAACCTCACTTGCATAAGCGGAGCCGGTGTGCAAGTGTTGCCCTCTGCTGTGGAGACGAGAGTGCTATTTGACGGGATCTAAGACGTAGTTCTCTGATGTCCGCTTCCGGGGACCCGTCCCGTTCCCACTGCACTGCCTGTGAGAGATACGAATGGATTCTGCGTCTCGCGACCACTTCTTTCTCTCTACCCAGACACTGGCGGCGACGAGCGCAGCGCAATCGGGGAATCAAATTCGGGGGGAAATTCTAAAAAAACAAAATGTTGAACAAGAGGGATGGGAAAAGCTTGATTTGGCTGGAGGGGGGATGGGCTCTGCGTGGTGGAGGATGAGAGCTGGGCCCTGGCTGGAGGAAGAGGAGGTGGATGAGAGATGGGCCCTGGCTGGAGGAAGAGGAGGTGGAGGAGGTGGATGAGAGCTGGGCCCTGGCTGGAGGAAGAGGTGGTGGAGAAAGAGGTGGTGGATGAGAGCTGGGCCCTGGCTGGAGGAAGAGGTGGTGGAGGAGGAGGTGGATGAGAGATGGGCCCTGGCTGGAAGAAGAGGAGGTGGAGGAGGAGGTGGATGAGAGCTGGGACCTGGCTGGAGGAAGAGGTGGTGGAGGACGAGGTGGATGAGAGCTGGGACCTGGCTGGAGGAGGGCGGCGTGTCGCCACGTGGGAGCGCGCCGTGGCGCTTTGATGCGTGCGCGGAGCTGATTGATGGCTGTGCGAGGGGAGCTGCGGTCACGTGCTCGGCGTCTCTTTGTACGCGCGCACGTGCGCAGTGAGATGGAGGTGTTGTCTGTCGGTGGTGGTGAGACGCAGGTGACGATGGTGGTGGTGGTGAGTCGATGGGAGCGATGCGATCGAGTCTTGTGAAGCGTTGCACCGCGGCCGCTCTCAGACGCCGCAGGATGAACATCGCCCAGACCGCGGGCGTCTCGGCAGTGTTATACGAGGGCCAAAGACAAAGATCCCCCGTGTAGCCTGTAACAGACTGTCGGGGCAAGTGCCGTTCGCGAGCAACACCTATGAAGGCCGGAACGGCACACGAAGCGGGTGGGTGTGCCAGCACCACGCCCGGCCGCCTTTGTCTCCCTCTTGGCGATGTTTACGCACCGACCCCAGGTGCCCACTTTGCGGCTGAGTCGACCTAGGGGCGACCCAGATAATCGGCACACTGGCGTGGTTGGCCGCGACCGCCAATCGAGCTCGGGTCGCCCGGGTTCGGAGCGCAGCGCCGCTAACCGCTGCGCCACCGCTCCTCGTCGGAGCGCGTTTCTACTCACGAACAGCGCGGCGCAGGCTGCCTTCCGTGGGGGGCGGGGGGGCGGTATTGTTCCCAAATAAAGACAAAGATTCCCTCTCCCCCCCGTATTCTCCTGTTGGAGGCAAGTGCTTGTTAGCGGCGAGCGCGTGTTACGGTCAACACAGGGCACGACAAGGGGTGGGCGAGGTGGTCAGCACCACCGCCCGGTCGCCTTTGTCTCCCCCCCGCCCCCACCTCTTATTGATGTTTACACACCGCAGCAGGTAACTCGTATAAGGCCTCCACGCACACACACACACAGGCGCGAGGTCGCACACAGTGTAAACTGAGTAACGCGCGTGCGTGTGTGTGCGTGGAGCGGTGGTGCAGTGGTTGGCGCGCTGCGCTAACGAACCCGGCGGCCAATACCGGTGACGATTATCTGAAACGGTCCAGGGCCTCCCCTAGGTCGACTCAGCCTCAAATGAGTACCTGGTGGGCGGTGTGTAGTAAACATCGTCATGAGGGAGACAAAGGCGTCCGGGCGTGGTGCTGGCACACCCACCCCCTTGTGTGCCACGGTGCCGGCCTTCATAGGTGCGACTCGCTAACAGCACTTGCCCCCAACAGTCTGTTACAGGCTACACGGGGGATCTTTGCATTTGTCTTTGGAGCGAGTGTACTCGCGTGTGTAGTTACATATTTACCCAGCCTGGCTTCACGACATCCGCCCGGCTCCTTCCTCATCCTATTTCACGCAACCGCTCCTCTTGTTTCTGTGCCGTGCAAAGAAGAAGAATAGCCAGCGAGTCCACGGGGCGCCTCGGTGGCGAGACGTGAACGACTTCGCTTGGTACGCAGGAGGCCGTGGGTCCGATCCAGGCCCTGACGCCTGCTGCTGCTGCTGTGTATTTGGCGTTTGAGCGTCCCTGTCCCTCTCTCCCCGTGGTCGCGTGGATTTTTCTCCGGGTCCTCCAGATTCCCCTCCTCCCCCCCCCCCCCCCCCCCCCCCCCCACATTTAGCATCAACATCACGCGTTTAGAGTATTTGGCGATTATATTTGCACGTGATGATGATAAGCCACTTCGTTGAGCCATCTAAAAAAAAGAGCCATATAGCTCAGTGGGCCTTACGTGGTAAAATAAAAAAAATAGTTTAATCGTTTTTTTTATATATAAACATCGGCGATACCAAAAGGAGCAAAACTTCCGTGGTACCGAATTAAATATACGGCCAATACGCGTGCATTGTTTGATAACCCACTCATTTTAAATTGACATAATTCGCTGTTTTCTGACCAAGACTTGCGCCCCCAAATACCCCACCCACTGCTTCTCCTTCTTCGCCTCCGTATGGCTGGGGGAGGCAGCTGTAGGTTTGATGTCGAGGTTGGCGATCCATTGAGCAGCTTCAGGTCAGGCAGAGCGAGTGGTCGCGATGCCACCATGAACAGATCTCTAAGGGCCAGGAGTTCGGTACGTGGACGATTGTCTCACTTGGGTCCTCCGGTATCCCCCCCCCCCTCCCCCCCACACACACACACACATTTAGAACCATGCATTGAGATTACTTGGGATGATTTTGCTGCTAGAAATGTCCACATGATAAGCCACTTTGTTGAGCTATCATTTATGGCGAGGGAGCTTCTGAAAAATAAGCGAATAACTCAGTGCAGTTTACCTGGTAAGATGAAACATAATTTAGTTTAAGTTGTATATATATTTTCAAGTGAATGGTTTACCTTTCCTATACTTTGCACTCCTATCGTGTTCTTGTACTGTTTGTTGTTGTTATAACATTTTGAGCCGCCCCTACTGGACATCTGTGCCCGGGCCCCACCTGGAGGAGGGCTTCACAGTGGGTTGTGGATGGTGGCATTCGGGAGCCACACGTGGCATTATGCCCCGGGTCTCGAGATGTTAACTACCTCGCCTGGTACGCAGGAGGTCGTGGGTTCGATCCCGACCCTAAACGCTTGCTGTATATTTGGAATTTGCGTGTTTCTCTCATCATCATCATGGTGGCTAGGAGATGTCAACTACCTTGCCTGGTATACAGGAGGTCGTGGGTTCGATCCCGACCCTAAACACTTGCTGCATATTTGGAGTTTGCGTGTCTCTCTCTCTCCCCGTGGTCGCGTGGATTTTTCTCCGGGTCCTCCAGATTCCCCTCCTCCCCCCCCCCCCCACATTTAGCATCAACATCACGCGTTTAGAGTATTTGGCGATTATATTTGCACGTGATGATGATAAGCCACTTCGTTGAGCCATCTAAAAAAAAGAGCCATATAGCTCAGTGGGCCTTACGTGGTAAAATAAAAAAAATAGTTTAATCGTTTTTTTATATATAAACATCGGCGATACCAAAAGGAGCAAAACTTCCGTGGTACCGAATTAAATATACGGCCAATACGCGTGCATTGTTTGATAACCCACTCATTTTAAATTGACATAATTCGCTGTTTTCTGACCACGTAAAGGCATTGTATCCGCTACAAAGGTGCCACATCAGGTGCCCCAGACACACGCGCGCTAACTGTTGCCGCAGATTCAGCGAGCGCGATGCTTCTCTGAGTTTCCCTTAGGTGGTGGCATTTTACCGAAGCAACTTGCGACGAAATGATTGATTATGATAGTAGTAGTAGTCGTTACTTTACCCAGGAATGCCTCACGGAGTCTTATAACCCTTTTTTGTCAGGAGGAGGCGATTTAGAATTCCAATTTGGGTGATTTTTCAAATGTTGGGCCATGACGCTGGCGCGCAATGGGCCAACTCTTGCGAATGACGCCACCGGATGCTTTATTTATAAAATTGTATTCAGGCAATGTGCGGACCCCGTTACATCACGTTGTGACGACGCGCGTACACACACCGTCAACATAAACCGAAATCGGTTATGAAAATCAAGCGGGTGGGGGGGTGGGGGGCTGGGGGGGGGGTTGGGGGGTGGGCCTCGCTGCCCGTCGTCGCCGGATGTGTAAACGCTCAGCTCGCGAGGCCTCGCACGGCGGCTCCCACATTCACGGTGAGCACGGCTTTTGATCTGCCAAGAAGACTACGGTGCCCCCATCAACCGCTGCAGAACGGCA